AGTTCAGGGCTTTTCTTTCTGTGAGAGTACCAGAAAGAAACCGGAGTGATACCCAGGCTCGGCAAACTTGGAGCGCAGTGAAATTCAAGGTTGGCAAAAACAGGCTCGGAGGTACTAGTGGTTCAAGGGAAGAGAGAAGAAAGATTGAACAGTTTCGGAGAAGGAAAAGAGAATAAGAACAGCAAGTGCAAGGAACATGAACGTGGACGAAGCACAAAAATCCCAATTGCAAATCACACTGAAGTCCAAGTAGTCAAAGCAAGAGCAGATATTACATTGGAACCAAGCAACCATCCATTTGAGAACGATACAGCAAAAGTCGTGAGTCAATGTCCAAGCCCAAACAGGCAACACCAACAACATAACCTGAAGTAGCCCTCTCTCTCGAATGACGCCAGGCGCCCTATCTACTCTACAGCCTATCCTACAACTACAGTCATGGAAGCAACCAGACGACTTGACGACCAGCTAGTGATGACGCCAACACCAATGCCGACCTCCTCTTCCACCAGGTACGTCACTCTCTCTTGTCCCTCACTCTCCCTTGTTATCCCACACATCGCCCTTCACCTCCCGAAGAACCACCTTCGCCCTCACCTCCTCTAGCGCTCTCATGCAACCTGGCTATGGCTGCCAGCGCCCTGCGCCCGGGCTGCGCCCTACTGCTTAGCGCCAGCCTGCCTTCTCTCAGCCTAGCGCAGCGCAGCACACTCGCAATGCAACAGCGTGCCGGCCTTGCTCGCAATGGCCAAGATGCCTGCCCACTCGCCCGCTCTGCCTATATGCCAGTGTTGCGTGTGGGCGGTCCACTTTGAGCCTGCGCCTGGGCACCAGTACCTGTACCCAGGCCCAATGCAGATGGGGCCCAAGTAACACAGTTGCGCCCCTTATGCTAGGGCCGTTGTCCAGATTTAGGCCCCATACCGGTTTCCCATTGGCTTCCCCGGCCTCTACGAGGAAATACTGCTTCTCCGTAGGCCAGGGACCAATGTGGGATGTGTCGGCCTCCCAGACTGTCGCCCAGCGCTCAGCCAACCCCGGCCCTGGGCTCAACTGCCTTTGCAGGAATCGGAGGCTCACGATGCACTTCAACCAACTGGTTTGCGGCAACTGTCTGATACCCACTTTTGAAAATGTTGAATGAAGGCCTCTCGTGGATATTCTGGCCTGCCTTCACTTAGGGCGGGCACGAGGCTTGCTGGGGGCCTATACCCAAAACATATGTATGTCGGCAAGGCCCCGTTGAGGCTCAATCCTCACATTCCATCGCCCTTAGCTTCGAAAGTCGGCTGAGATGCTTACTTTGCAGGTGTCCCTTGAGCTGTCTTCCATATTCGGCCACCACCTGAGGTGCTGTCTTAATCAGTTCCCCTTGGGTGAACCACCGATCTTCTTTAGGATCCGTGTGATGCTTGAATCTGACTCTGTACTCTCTTCTGGTTTCAGAGGTCTTCCTCGGCCCAGGGGTCTTGGAACAGGCGTATCTCTGTGTTCCAGTATGTCGTCAATGTCCACGCGGCCATCCATGGTTGGGGGCAACATTGATCTCCTTGAAGGGAATTGATCTGTCTCAGCGAAAGGTGCAAGCTTTGAGGCGTGAAAAACAGGGTAAGTGCGCAAGTGACCAGGGATATGGATAACATAGGAAGGGCCATCCAAATCATCCCCAACTACGTCCAGGACTTCCCAGGGACCGAAATACTGTGGCATTAGTTTACGAGGGATTCCGAATTCCTGTCCTAGCTCACTAGCCTTGACCCAGACATGTTCCCCTACCTGAAATGTGGACTGTCGACGATGTTTGTTCTCAGAACCAATCATTGCTTGTTGAGATTTCCTAATGTGCTCGACAACTTGCTGTAGCAACTTCTCATACTGGACACCATACTCATGTGTGCCGTGAGTTGCAGAGGGTCGGTTTTCAGGCAGGAGGAAGTCCAGCGCTAATCTAGGCTTCCATCCCAATTGCAGCTGGTTAGGACTGGCCTCGGTATTGCTGTGTACGGTGTTGTTATACATGCCGACGATGAGAGGCAATTTTTCATTCCAGTCATTCTGGCTGGGCTTGATGTAATGCCTCAGCAGATGTTGTACAACTCTGTTCATCTGTTCGGCCTATCCGTTGGCTTCGGGATGATTCCCGGAGGTCATCTGAAGTTGACTGCCAAATTGCTCAGCAGTCTTCTTCCACACCTCACTGGTAAAGCAGACATCTCTGTCACTAACGATTGATTTTGGCAGTCTAAAATCACGTACCCAGTTGTCCATGAATAGCTTGATGACGTGCTCAGTCCTCACAGTCTCTGGCATGGCAATCAGTCTAGCGAACTTGGTAAACCTGTCTATGGCAACAAAGATATGCCTCTTGTCGCTTTTGCTCGTGACCAGGGTGTCCATGAAGTCCATGGAGACACTCTGTCCTGGTCCAGCGGGAATGGGCAAGGGCTTCAACAACCCAAGCGGTGCTTGAGTTCTTGGCTTGTCTCGCTGATAGACCTGGCAGGTCTGCACATACATCTTTGCATCGTTTAGCATACCGGGCCATCAAAGTCGCTGGACTAAGTTGGCACTTGTCTTCTTGTAGCCAAAGTGACTCGTTGCATCATGACATTCACCTAGAAATAAACTGCGCAAATTCTCACTAGATGGAACAACTAATCTTTCAGTCCCAGCCTTTCTCAGAAAGAGCAACCCATCCACCATCACAAACTCATCTTCTGTGGCCTTATCTTTCGCCTGCAGTTTGCGTATGATGTCCATCGTGATAGGGTCTTCCTGATAGGCTCTCACCAACAATTGAGTTACTTCCTCAGATACGCCAAATTCGCAAACTAGCGCCCCTAGGTAATCTGCCCTACGTGACAACGCATCCGCAACCTTGTTGTACTCTCCCTTTAGATACTCTAGCTTGAAGTCGTACTGATCTATGACCTCAATCCAGCGCTTGAGTGCATCAAAAAGAGCAGGTTGAGTCTTGATCCATTTAAGGGTTTGATGGTCGATTCTCAAATAGAAAAACCGCCCCAGCAGAAAGTGCCTCCAATGGACAAGTGCCTTGCTCATGTACTCAATCGGCCTCAACTTTTTCCCATGCTGCTGGGCCAGCACTGCGCCAATTCCATATTGGCTTGCATCAGTGGTTACAATGAATGGCTTCTGAGGATCGGGCACCATGAGAACCTCATGATTCACGAGTGCATGCTTCAATCGTTTGAAAGCAGCCTCGCACTCATCATTCCAGTCCCATGGCGTATCAAGTCGAGTGAGATCAGTCAAAGGAGAGGCGACCGTGGAATAGTTTTTCACAAAGTTCCTATAGTAGCCGCACATCCCTAAGAAAGATCTAACCTCAGTCACTGTCTGAGGTCGTGGCTAGTCCCGTATACTAGCCACCTTCGCATCTTCCGACCTAATCCCTGCCACGGATACTTCATGACCCAAGTACAAGATCTTAGTGCATCCGAATTCGCATTTCTCTAAGTTGACTTATACTTGTGCTGCCGCAAGAGTGAGAGAACAATCTCCAAATGTTGTGCATGCTCCTCGACAGACTTACTTAAGACAAGAATATCATCGAGGTACACGACAACAAACTTGTCCAAGTAGTCATGGAAGATCCTATTCATGGCGTGCTGGAATGTACCCGGCGCATTGCAAAGGCCAAAGGGCATTACCACAAATTCATACAGAATGTACCTGGTCTGAAATGCGATTTTGTGCTGATTCTCAGGTCTTACGGCAATATGATGGTAGTCGGACTTTAAGTCTATCTTGTTGTAGTACTTACACCCCTGCACCCTATCCAATAGAGTCGTCTATGCGAGGTAGAGGCTCTGCTTTCTTCACGATGATGGCATTGAGGCCTCTGTAATCACTACACATCCTCAACGATCCCCCCTTCTTCGGTACAAACAACACTAGAGATCCGAAGGGGGAAGTAGTAGGCCGTATCCAACCCTTTTCTGTCAGCTCTTTCAGTTGTCGCCAGAGTTCGTCCAGCTTGGCCGAAGCAATCCTATAGTTCCTTTCCCTTGGGGTTTTACTCCCTGGAATTATTTCTATGGCGTGGACAATCTCCCTATCTACGACTCCTGTGGGCTCCTCAAACAGATCAGGGAACTTAGTAATGACGTTCTCTATCTCCGAGGGTGTTTTAACGGCCTCCCCTTTCTCAGAGACATAGACTAGGTACATACCCTCCTCTTGGTTCTATTTATAGTAGTTGTAAAATGCTGATGCACACAAGCACCCGTAGGAGTCTAACAACCTACTAGCCTTGTACTTGGCCAGTCTCACGGTCCTCCCATCAGGCAACTCATGCTTGAGCACCTTCTTGTCCTTGTCAAACTGGGGCTTGACAACCTCGAGGTACTACATTCCTAACAACATGTCGAACGGTAAGTCGTCACTGACCAGGAACAAAATCTTGTGATTAAGTTCCCCTCCTCCATAGAAGAAGGTGCAGACTACATCCTTGATATAGTCTGACACTTCCATGTGTTCCTTGTTGGCCAAAGTAGATGCTACCGGTCTACTAAGGCACTGTACCCAGTCCTCTAGGTGCAACCTTTCCAAACAGTCGCGACTTATGTAATTCCGCGTGGAGCCGATGTCTACAAAGGCACCACATTTGCGGCCTCCTACAACAACTTCCACGACGAAATGTTCCCCTCTAGGACCTCTACTTAGTGCCACCCAAGATTCGCGAGGGTCCTTGCTTGACCACTCACTTTCTAAATCTTCTAAGGCCTCAGACGCATCCAACGTACAGAGCATAGTTTGGTCTGGGTGTGTCTGTGGGGTGACTAAAGAGTCATTAGCTTTGGCCATCTCATGAAGCGGGGAGGGTATCTGTCCCATTTCACCATGAGTAAAAGCAGCTAAAACTTCCACCGGCCTCAGGTGTTTCCCGAACTGGAACTGGTCCCAACCTGGGAAGAAGGCACCCCTCCCTTAGGGGGTATCTTCTGCGTGACCTTTGCGTTCTTGCACTTGTACTGGGTGTGTATGTATTCACCACAGCACCACGCACTCGGCGGTCCCGCCACACTTCCTGATCAAGACCTGCCTTAACCCAATCCGCTACTTTGGACCAATTGGAGGCGGCCTGCCCTTAACTCTTTGGATGGCCGCCTTTATTGCGGCCACCAACATTTGCCTTGACTACTGCGGCGAGGGTGCTACCCTCAGCGATTTCCTTGCCGTCGTACATGAACTGTCCATCAGGTCGGTAAGTTCTTCGATTTCAGTTTGAGTCCCGTTAGACTCGACCATCATCAATCTACTACCCTTCTTTTTCCACTCCTCACTCCTGTGGACTCTTCTTCTTCCTCCCGTCTACTGGAGTAGGTTGAGCACTTCCTAGAGTAGCCTCCAAGTCTAACGCCTTTCTAGAGGTCTCAAAAGAATGATACTCGAAGTGAGCCTCGCTGGCCAGTAAGGATCTGAGATTCTCGGGCAGACATCTCAGAAACATGGTCAATAAGACCTGGTCATCATAGCGTATACCGGGAACGACGTTCTCTACGGTAGACGTCAGCTCTCTGACAGACTTGTACCTTTGCTGGTCCAATCTGAGCATCGCATCAGTGGCAATTTGTGCCTGCTGCGGATTATGCCAGCGAGCTTCTACCATATCGAAGAACTCTTCTAAAGGAAGGGTCCTACTCCAGTCTGCCATGCGTGGTCCGAACCCGGCCTTAGCTACTATCCCATCCAGCCATTTGGCTGCCTTACCCTCAAGGTAAGATGCAGCAATAAGCACCTCCTCCTCCTGCAACGTCCTCTTTGCCCTTGCCCACATCGGAACCGTCCTCAACCAAGTGTTGAGTTCCTCATCCTTCTTCTCTCCGGAGAAAGCAAGGGGCGACTTCATCGGGGTCTTTGGGTACCATGGACTTTGCTGTTGTCCCTGAGGTGGAACAGATTGTTGCGGCTGTGATGTAGCTCCAGCCGCTGGACCAGAAGAAGAAGCAACAGTCTGTGCGACTGCTGCAGTCGTACCACTTGGCTATCGCAGAGGAGCAAGCGGCGAAGTTAAAGGCTATCGCAGAGGAGCAGGCGGTGAAGATGAGAAAATTTGAGGAGATGAAGAGAGTTCAGCAGGAGGAGGAAGAGAGGAGAAAGGCTGCCGAAGAGGAAGCAGCAACAGAAGAAGCAAAAGAGAGAATGCGTATTGAGAGTAGAGAGGGGAGTAGTGGCACGAAGAAGGACGAAGATGCAGAGATGGAGAAGAAGATTAGCGGGTGGATAACTAATTTATCGCTGGGGGAGGATGAGGAGGCAGAGTTCTATGTGCCCCAGGATGAGAGGGATACGTTAGCTCAGGAGCTAAAGATGGCCGCCTTAGCGAGAGAGAACAAAGAGAGGAAAGAGCTCCAGAAACAGGCGAAGTTAAAGGCTATCGCAGAGGAGCAGGCGGCGAAGATGAGAAAATTTGAGGAGGAGATGAAGAGAGTTCAGCAGGAGGAGATGAAGAGAGTTCAGCAGGAGGAGGAAGAGAGGAGAAAGGCTGCCGAAGAGGAAGCAGCAGCAGAAGAAGCAAAAGAGAGAATGCGTATTGAGTGTAGAGAGTGGAGTAGTGGCACGAAGGACGAAGACGCAGAGATGGAGAAGAAGATTAGCGAGTGGATAGCTAATTTATCGCTGGGGGAGGATGAGGAGGTAGAGTTCTATGTGCCCCAGGATGAGAGAGATACGTTAGCTCAGGAGCTAGCAGTAATGGATGAACCCCTGGAGAGACAAGAAAGAGAGGAGGAGAAAAAGTCGGAGTGGAAGTTGAGGATAGCAATGGATGACCCCCTGGATGAAGAGGGAAAATAAGAGAAGGAGGGATGAGGTTAACAGGTTGACCGCAGAGGTGGCGAAGATGAAAGATTGTAGGCAGGAGGTACAGGCTCAAGCAGACGACAAGGCCAAATGGGATAAGGTGTTGGGGTACTTGGAGGTGCTGAGCGCGGTGTGGATGGAGGAGCGCCAAGCCAACAGGAGCCAAGAGGTAGTGCTGAGCGCCATGTGGTCCGGATTTAGAGAATTCGTGCACGAAATGGTTACCCACGTTGGAGGGGAAGTCAGGCGGTTGAGAGACAACGCGAGAAAGTTCTGTGAGGGTGCCATTGAGGGCGCCAAAGTAGCAGCCGTTGTTGAGGGCGAGGCCATACCTCGCAAAGAACCAGTCAAACTTGAGTTCCCCAATGCTTATGGTGGGAAATCCGATGAGAACGTCGATAACTCGGAGGCCAGTGTAAACAGCTACGTTTACTTACAGCACATTGTACAGGACAATCAGGTCCTGGTAGCCTTCTAGGCCCTCAAGGATGAAGCGGCTAGTTTCGCTAGGTCTCTCGCGTTCGCGACCGGTTGTGAAAACAACATGGTCGCCTATTCCAAGATTACCCCTCTCCCTCAATTCTTCAAGCTCCTCAGGGAGCGATTCGCTGATCTTCGAAGAGGCATTAGAGCCTCTGACAAGCTCCAAACCATCCACTCACGACAGTGGAGGAGTGCCAAGGCACTCAAGGGCGTCATGGACGACTTAGTAGCCACGGAGACCCAATTGGTCCAGTTATTTTATCGTGCCATGCTAGAGCCCCTCCGTGGGCACTTCTTTGACAAGTCCCAACAACCCACCATGACGTACGATACGCTCAATAGAGAGGTGGTGCTGTTTGAGGCCAAGTCCATGCCAATTACCACTTTTTGGCATAAGGACTTAGACAAGGGTTGTACCATCTCTGGCCAAGTCAGGGCCAAGGATCACATGATCCTTACTTCAGAGGAGGGTGATACAGATGAGGTCCCATATAGTCAGATTGAGTGGGGCCTTGAGGAGGAGGACAGTAGCGTGGGGCAGGGGAGGTCCTATGCTGCTGTCGCGGCTGGAGGGAGGCCGCAAAGTAGAGGAGGAGGCCAGGGCCAAAGGGGCCAGGCCATGGGAGGCCGAGGACCGGGCGCCAGGGGGTTGGCGGACAAGGGAACCGCCAAGTGGGAGGTAGGGGTCAAGGTCCCCCGCCAAATCGCCAGGGTTCTTGTCGGTCCCCACAACGACGAGGTGGAAGGGCACCTCAAGGAGGATGGCACCGGGCAGGCCCTGGGAGGATTTGGGCTTGGACCAACGTTTATGGCAGGAACGCGTGGACTTGGGTCAGTGCGTGTCTTGTGGTGACCCGGCCCACGTTATTAAATTTTGTCCTAAGTATAGACAGGCCCGTTAAGCTGCTCAGCAGTCAAAGGCAGCCGCCAGTAGGGGTCGCAACTGCCCCTACTTCAAGGCCATGTGGGGAAGCGAGCGCGCGTGAACAGGAAACTCCCAGCCCACATGAGCCTATGTCAGAGGTTGCAGGCCCGTGCCTAGCTAGCTGTCCAGAGATTGCTTGTGTTAGCGTCCCTCTAGGCATGTCCCTCACAGGTGTGGTAGAAGAGCTGAAGGAGAGGATGCCAGCCTGGGCCAAAATGAAGAAGGAGAGTAAGGGACAACTGATTTTGGTAGATGTAGAAGTATTTAGAAGCAGAGTAGGGGCCGTTATAGACTCAGGGGCTACCCGTAGTTATATTAACCGTAGAGCGCTGAAGAAGTTGAGGCTAGGATTGAAAGTCCAAAAGTTAACAGACCCTATAGTCAGTGTCCGCGCAGACAACCGCACAATGCGTGTTGAGGACTACGTAGAGGGAGTCCAGGCGTACTTTCGCCTAGAGAAGGATGGGAAGGTGGAGAAAGTTCTCCATTCCCTGACTCTCCTCATACAGGATGACCTTCCTTTTGACATGGTGTTAGGAATGGATTGGGGAGAGGCAGCAGGGGCCACACTCCACTTGAGAGAGCATGAGTGTAGGCTCCCTAGTTCGCCAGGCGAGGTTAAGACTGCCCGCCTGTTCCGAGTGTCAGGTGTAGATAACACCTTAGCACATTGCTGTCTCAGTGCTCCCGCGTTCGCTCGACTAGTGAAAAAGCAGGAGGACCAGGTCTTCGTAGTGTATGTTAGACCTGCCACTGAGGCTAAGGAAGAAGTGACTTCCACAGATCCAACCATTGCCAAGCTGCTGCTGGAGTTTAAAGACTTGACCGAGTCGCCGACAGGAGTAGTGTCGCGACCCATCCAGCACAGGATAGAGATAGAGACTGGCAGTAGGACTCCTAAGGGAGCAGTCTACAGGATGTCCCCTAGAGAGTTAGAGGAGTTACGCAAGCAATTAGACGAGCTCCTCGAGAAAGGTTGGATCAGGCCCAGTTCATCTCCTTTCGGAGCACCAGTCCTGTTTGTCCCCAAGAAGGAAGGAGAGCTTCGCATGTGTATAGACTATAAGGGGTTTGAATGCGATAACCGTGAAGAATGTTGAGCCGCTGCCCAGGATAGATGATCTTCTAGATCGGGTGCAGGGTTGTAAGTATTTCTCTAAGTCTGGGTATCATTAGATAGAAGTCCATCCTGATGACCAGTACAAGACTGCGTTCCGGACTAGATATGGGCATTATGAGTTCATAGTCATGCCCTTTGGACTAACAACGCGCCAGCCACCTTTCAGCGTTGTATGAATGATTTGTTTAGACCTTGGTTAGATAAGTTTGTAGTAGTCTATCTAGATGATATCTTAGTCTTCAGCAAGACCCTCCAAGAGCATCAGGGTCATTTGAGGCAGGTCTTGGAGAAGCTACGAGAGGCTAACTTCAAGATCAACGCAAAGAAGTGCGAGTGGGCCACGACACAAGTCTTGTACTTGGGCCACGTATTAGACGGAGATGGCATTAAGCCAGAGGACAGCAAGAGAGCGACAATCAGAGACTGGCCGACGCCCCGCTCGTTGACAGAGTTGTGGTCGTTCTTAGGCCTAGCTAACTACTATAGAAAGTTCGTAAGAAACTTTTCTACTATCGCCGCTCCCTTGCGCAGGTTGCTTAAGAAAGAGGCAATCTGGCAGTGGGACAAAGACTGTACGTCTGCGCTAAAGAAATTAAAGCGCGCATTGATAGAGTATTCTGTCCTCAAGGTAGCAGATCCGTCCTTGCCATTTGTCGTCACCACGGACGCCAGTCAGTATGGTATAGGTGCCGTGTTGCAGCAAGACGACGACAATGGCTATAGACCCGTAGAGTTCATGCCAACGAGGATGCCCTCGGAGAAGGTCGCTACCTCGACGTACGAGAGAGAACTCTACGCTCTCTGACAGGCTTTAGAGCACTGGAAGCATTACCTGCTTGGGAGGCACTTCAAAGTATACTCAGACCACGAAACTCTTAGATGGTTAAAGATCCAGGCCAAGATGACACCTAAGCTAACTAGGTGGGCCGCTGAAATAGACCAGTATGACTTTGAGGTCAAGCCAATGAAGGGCAAGTACAATGTAGTTGCGGGTGCTCTGAGTAGGAGATCAGACTACTTTGGAGCCATAGTACACTATCTGGATATAGGGAGAGACGTGCAGGAGAAAGTAAGGCAAGCGTATGCGCAAGACCCTATCTGTAGTGACCTCCTCAAAATAGTCAAGGAGGCCCCAGAGACCAAACCACATTACTGCACTACAGAAGGATTGCTGTTTGAGAAGACGGATGTATCCGACCGCATATGCGTTCCCAACAGTGAAGAAATCCGCAGTCTGATCCTAGGGGAATGCCATGACACAGAGGGACACTTTGGTTGGCAAAAGACATTAGCCAATCTGATGCGTGCGTACACTTGGCCAGGGATGAAGAACGACTGCATAGAGTATGTTCGCAGTTGTAAAGTATGCCAGCGGAATAAGACTACTACGCACGCACCCCTAGGTCTTCTCAGACCTTTGCCCATTCCTGGTCAGCCGGGAGACTCAGTGTCCATAGACTTTATGGATACTCAAGTCAAGAGTAGACATGGTAAGAACCAAGTCATGGTCATAATTGACCGATTTAACAAGTATGACGTTTTTGTTCCTCGGCCTACAGAGGCCCGCACAGAACTAGTTATTCAGAAGTTTTTTGATCATTGGGTTAGTGAGAATGGAGTCCCATTGTCAATTGTTAGCGATAGAGATAGTCGTTTCACTAGCCAGAACTGGCAAGAACTCATGCGAGTTTACGGATCTAAGTTGTTGATGTCATCTGGCCGCCACCCAGAGACCAACGGTCAGACCGAGCAAAAGAACAAGATCCTACAGCAAGTTCTGCGCATGTACATTAGACCCGATCAGATCATCTGGGACGAGATGTTACCCAAGGTAGCTACTGCTTATAACAACAGCGTGCATTTGTCTACCTGTCGCACTCCCAATGAGCTGCACAAGTCCTTCAGACTGCGCAGACCGTTCGAAGGACTGAACCGGGATCAGATTCACAGGCTACCGTTCAGTACTAGGGAGTTCGCGGTACAGCAGGAGAAAGAGCAGCCGGTTCTAGAAGTCAAGGGCGGAGAGGATGGGCAGTCCTACACTGTGATGATCCCAGCACACCTCCACACATACCCTGTGTTTCATGCTTCAAAGCTGTTGCCGTGTGTCACAAGTCAACAGTTCCCTTCAAGAAGATCCATGATCCCCCCGGATATGGATGGAAGTTATGACATTGACGACATTGTAGGTGAGGATGTGTTCAGAACAGGAGGTAGAGGTCGTCCCCAGAAACAGTATAAGGTCCGGTTTGCTTATCAGGAACCGGAAGACGACCGCTGGTTTACAAGGACAGAACTTCTAGAAACAGCTCCCGACATAGTCCGAGCCTATGAGCGTGATAAGAAGGGTAAAGGTCCTGCCTTGGACTGAAATGTTCTCGGACGACCTCGAATTTAGGACGGCAGGAGTGAAACGGTTTTCACCTCTTTGCAGTAGCAGACGCAGATCCCAGGGTTCGATCCCTAGGCCTTGCCCTATCTGTGTACAGTACCTCTGTAGACCCCGAGAGTTGAACCTGTGACCTGTGTATTCGTAAACAGTTGTTGATCTGTAGATCTGTAGAATAGAAGTCTTAGTGGGTTCCAGAAGTCTTAGCTGTAGTCCTTCCAGAAGGTTGGCAAGTGGTCAAGTGGTGAGCCAAGTGGTCAAGTGGTGAGTCAAGTGGTGGACTAAACCGCAGTGCGATTGCAGTACGAGTCCGGTGGGATAGCAGTGAGTCCCCGTTCAGTCAGCGGTCAGGTCCAGTCAGTCCCAGTCCGGTCTAGCAAGTACCTTAAGGGACTGTGAGCACCATGGGCCGATGGAAGAGGGCAGACCAACGAGTTTCAGAAGTATAAATCAAGAGGCAGCGCCCAGCCATTCATTCATTCCTGCATAAGCCATGCGGAAGCGCTGCCACAGCGACTTGTGCAAGGAGGTGTGCAGAGAGCCCGGAGCTGAAGTGGGCAAGAGAGAAGGGTGTCAGCCTATGATCCAACCGGTGTTCAGAGTTTGTTACTCCTCTCGCTGCGGATGTGAGCCCACGGCCCTATTCCAGCCGTCCTTTATAGCCCACCCGTTCCCAGATTGAGCCCTTACTGTTCTTCCCGCTGCTCTACCGTAGGTGCTCTTCTTGAATCGGTGATGCCTCGAATTTGACACCGCCTCTTTTTTCTTTCCTACTCGTGACTTTGTTTTTGGTCGTGTGTCCCTGTCCGTCTACTTCTGAGATCTCCGCCTCCCCGTCTCCACCGGTGGCCACATCACCGCCTGCTCTCAGGTTGTTCACATCGGGAGATCAACCCCCCACCTCACTTGCCTGACCTTCGATTTCCGAACTACGTGACTTACTTTGGCGGGAATAACAACTCACTTCTGGATATGCCATGTGTACCGACTGGGTTTATCCTAGGATCCCAGCTGAGGGTCCCCTGCCGTCGGTAGTGCTGACAATGATCTGGCCATGGATTCTCTTTCCCGTTATCCAACGTATTTTCCGACATTGTATCTGTCATGGTAGTGTGAAAAACACGTTTCGACGGTTTCGGTACTAGGACTCAGCAAGCTATGAGATAGCCTCACTCTGCAAGTACAAAAGGAAACCTCTATTTTCTGATTTTGCCCCTTCAATCCCGACTCAATCAAAAAGGACACAATTGGAAACGATTTGAAGGACTGCCATTTTTTGCGTTTACTCTTTAGCGAAAGGAGAACCACGTGTTCTACAAATGAGATCGACGACATCGATAAACATCGATGGTTTTGAGGCATTGCTCAATGCCCCCAGACTTCCGCATTGATGGGACTATGGCGGTCAATCATGCTGATCACCCAGTTGAGGTCGAGTGTTCGAGACCCTCGCTGCTGCAGAAGCCCATGCGATACCTCTAGTCCCCTCCATCAGATACTCGATGAGGGCGTTACATGTCATCGATCGAGAATATCTGGCTAAGGCAGCCAGACTCGCCAAGTGGCAGTCGTCTCTCCTGTTCGAGTCTTTTTCCTTTGCTGGCCCCTTTTTGGCCTCCAACCTGTTTGTGTGTGTGCGTGTGTGTGTGCGTGTGTGTGTGCGTGTGTGTGTGTGCGTGTGTGTGTGTGCGTGTGTGTGTGTGTGTGTGTGTGTGTGTGTGTGTGCGTGTGTGTGTGCGTGACTTCATTCTACAATAGGGCATCAAGGAGACCACAGGGAAAGGAACACAGAATACACAGTGGAAGACATAAATAATGTAGTCGGGACTCGGGAACGAAAAAAAGACCAGTCGGGAACGAGATGAAAAGACCTCAAACAAAATTGTGTGTGTGTGTGTGTGTGTGTGTGTGTGTGTGTGTGTGTGCACATGGGTGGGTGTGCTCCATTGCACTCAATCTTGATATTCCCATGAACTCCTGCTCTGGAGCAAGATTTTGTTTTTGCCTTTTTATGGGTTGTGTGCAGGTATTCAGCTCAGTGCAGGTGGAGGCAGAACAAGAGTTTTTTTTTCAAGTCTAGTTTGCTTTGTGTGGACGGTTGTGCCCGGAGTTCAGGCATTCTTCTCTTACATGACGAGTTTGTCAATTAATGATGTGCAGTGCAATGGGGTTGAACTGGCTAAAGAAACGGTGAATGCAAATGGAGCTCTTGGAGCACCTCCTTCAATCACCTCCCTGGGCTGTGTCCTAAACCACACCTTCTGTGACAATTGACAGCGAAGGAAATTCAGCATACTGCTCTTGGCAGTAGTGGTTTGATCTTGAACGTGATAGGTGGGAGAAAGGTTTGAGTTCATCTGTTTGTGAAGTGTCGTGGTAGAACTTAGGGCGAATCAGTGCCTTGGTTTTGAACTTGCCTGCTTCCGCTCAGAATTTGTCCGTGCGGCGTGAACTCAACTTTTTTGATCCAGGTGCTCCCCGCCATGCTTATTGTGAAGGCTTATGCAGCAGAAAGAGTTGAAATGGAACGTTTTCGGTCCCTTGCAGCTGTAGACCTCTCTGCACGGTTGGAGAAAAAGAGATGCAAGGCAATGATGCCTCTTGCCATCACTGGTGTATATGCCATTACTGTTATGGTGCTGTTTGCTGCGGGGACGTGGGCCATCTCCAGGAGAAAGTTCAGTGGAGCAGGGATGGTTTCCTTTGTAACATCTCTTGTGCTTCTTATTGAACCAATCCAGGTTCTTATCTCTCCTTTCTTCCACTCCCCTTCCTCCGCCCTCTCTCCCCCCCCGCCTCCCCCCCTCCGCGCTGCTCCCTCTTTCTTGTTACCTTTTCTTTGCTTTCTTTATTTTTTGCCCTTGGGTAGAGTATGTGTAGATGTTGTGCGTGTGCGTGTGTGTGCACGTGCGAGAGGGATCAAGGGGGGAAGCTACATGAAGATAGATTGTAGTGAGATTCATAGTGCTTTGTTCCTACCATTGCTACCTGAATGAATTTGATTGTATTCAGATTCTTCGCACTGCTCCGTGGTTGTGATTGATATAACTACATTGAGGTATTGTTAATATTGTATGTGTTTCATTGAAAGCAACCAGGAATGCAAAGATGCAGTTTGCATGGTAGGTCATAACTATGACTAGTTGAACCCCTTTGGATGAGTGCAGTCTGGCAATACTCCATTCTCCCCAAACGCTCAGTTCTGTTTGCAACTATGTGCTTCCTTTGTCCTTCCCCCTACACCTGTTCTATCTTTTTATTAGTTGATGTTTGTTATCTATTACCTTCATTGATGTATTACATCCTCTACTACACCTTGTTCAGTTTTGAGTACGGTTCTCCTTTTTTCCTTGTGGAAGAGTAAACGATAATCATAGTAGACTAGTAGCAATTTGGCGCATGTGCAGGTCTGGTTCGTGATGAAAAGTACCGTCTTCCCCCTATTCTTCTTCTTCTTATCCTCCTCTTCCGCCTCCCCCTCCCCTCCTCACTCCCTTTCTATTTATACCGCCCCCCTCTCCTTCCCCTGCTTACTGCCCAGTGTTCCTCTCCCTTTCTTGCCCCTCCCTTGTAGTCTCTCTCTCTCTCTCTCTCTCTCTCTCTCTCTCTCTCTCTCTCTCTCTCTCTCTCTCTCTCTCACTCTCTCTCTCTCGCTCTTTCTCTCTCTCTCTCTCCTTTTTTGTGTGTGTGTTCGTGTGGGTGTGTGCTTCATTACCTGTAACAAATTCAGGACAGAACCCGGGAGGTGTGGGTCAAGTGTGCCTTGCCTTCCCCATCCCTCCTCTCTCTCAGGTGCACACGCGCATGAGCATCCCCACTCCCCACTGTTTTATCTTCCTCTCGTTGTTTTTGGTAGTCTGTCTTTACTGAGTAATACTATCCCTTGTGCTGTCATCTATCCCATGCAAACCACCCCTTCTCTGTCTGTCTTAACAATCAGTTACCCCCTCCTTGACTTCCCCTCAAGTTTTTTCCTATTTGTTTTCTCTTGTTTCAATACCTTCCTCTCAATTGCACAAACTCGGTAAGCTTTCCGGCTGGTGCTGTTGTTCTCTTTGCTCCTCCACTGCTCCTTGTTGTCCTGTTTCCCCTTCCTCCTTCAGATCACTTCGTCCCGAAAAGCAGCAATTTACTTAGGCGATGGTCCATCACACATGTTCTCTTTTGTACACATGACATCGAACAACACTGAAGAAGTCAAGACCAGACTCCTGCATGACAGCATGAATTGGCATGTGGGCTACATATTGATTGCTGATTGCAGGCTGTGAGTACTGCCTACAACGAGATCAAGCAGGGTGAGCCAGCTGTGGAGCGCATTTTTGAGCTCATGGCGAAAGCTCCAAAAGTAAGTGTTAGATTTTTGCAAGTAAATTTTCTTCAAACTGTTGCAATAAGCCCACAATGCCGACAGCATCTCACTTCACGCCGATGACATGCACTTCAGCACACACAAGAGAGAAAAAACACACGAGGTCTGAGAACTCTGAAACATATCAAGAATTCAGAGTCTTATACAGCAATTCATATGTACACAGGTGTGAGGTGGCTATGGCAAGCAACATTCATGTATGGACTTGCTCTCTCTCTCTCACACACACACACACACACACACACGCACACACACACACACACACACACACACACACACACAACTGCAATGAATCACAGTTTTGAGCGGGTTGTACACTAAATAAGTAGGACTTTCTAACCTTTTTAGACGTCAGGGTTTGATCCCTGCACCTATGCCTCACGAGGCTGCCCTAACTGCGACTGAGTTCTGGAGGTCCACCAAGCCTTGATCCCCGGATTTGTCCCTTCGGGGAACTTGCTTTTCTGCTGTAGGTCGTAGGCCCTTGGCTCTTGTTTTTCCCTTTGTGCCAGTTGGGAGTCTAGATTCGGTCCAGCTGCGTAGTCTGCCCGAACAGTCCGGCAGGCTGTGGTGTCTGTCGAAGTAGTCTGGGTCCTACAAAAGTGTAGAGGCAGAGGTAGAATGGGTCTACATCTACATCTACATCTACACTACTATAAGAACTGCTAAACGTCATATCTCACGGCCTGAATCGCAGGCCGGTAACGCGCCGCGGACGGCCCAGATCGCAGGCCGATCAGAAAAC